AAAAAACCCCCAAAAACTCTCTTTAAAAGTGTTCTCGTTACTTGTAAATTTTTGAATCTTCCCGTACCAGACTCTGCTTCCTGAGGGATGTGCCTGGAGGGGTTCTACTTATGTAAAGGAATGGATCAGACCCCTGAAACACACTAGTATGGAGCCTGAATTCTTTACAGAATGAAATGTTGAGCTTGATTTATGCAGAGAGAATTTATGTGAGTCAATAAAGTGTAGGAGACATCCTAACTCAGCAGTACTTTTTGGTTTGTTGGGTTTTTTGAAAGAACATTTTTGCAGGGATGGAATACAAGTAATTTTAATTATGATAAGAATATTGTTAATATAAACTACCTTGCACCTTTTCTAAGGCAAACTATCCAAGGCGTTTTCTATGCAGTATACACAAGAATACCTGAAATAAGTGAAGTTAAGAGTAGAGGAAATGTAACAGTAAAAGATAACACGCTGGGGAAACAGGGTCAAACACGCTGCATACAATTAACTGAAAGCCAAACTAATTTTTCAGGTTTTGTTTTTAATTATGTATTTTAACATGAAAAGTGCAGTTATTTCTTGGTTTCTCATCACAAACTGGATTTAAAAGAATTATCTATCTTGATTTTACAACTCTGTGATGAGGAAATTGCTGCAACATTTAGCAAGCTGCTTCAACAGTTAATCTACTTCCCTGTTAAAAATCTGCATGTTACTTTGAAGCCTAAGGTTCCAGCCATTGAATCTTGCTTGTCTTTGTCTACCAGAATGAAGATGTCTTACATGGATTCTTGTAAACTGATATATGAACTCCCATTAAGTTTTCCTTTGATGAAGTAAGAAGGCTGAGTTCCTTGAATTTTCTGGTACAAGACATGATTTCACATCATTCTTGTGGTTCTTTGAACACTTTCCAGTTTTCAATATCCTGCTTAAAGTGTAGATATGAAAACGGAACATGATATGACTGTAACTCCACTGCCAAATCTGAATGCAAATCTACTCAGCATTCCCCCTTCATAAATAGAAGGACCTCTCTCATTTCTGGGCCCCAGCATTAGGCTGGGAACTCCAAGTCTACTGAATAACTACTGCAATACTCAATTATACTCAAGTAGTAACTGTTAATAAAAATAACTTGCTATTGTAAGGGCATACATTCTTTGCTTTTTAAATTATGCCTTTACTTTTACCATAGAGAAATATGTACTGTTTGACACTTCACCTTGCAATCCAGTTCACATTTTATTATTTGACATTGCTCCATAACTTGCACTTATTTTCAAACTTTATCAGTAATGACTTTATGTTCCATTCTAGGCCATAGGTAAAATATATAAACAGTGTATGACAAAGGAGTAACACTTGAAGAACCTTACCTAAATAGCAATTTATGATTTCCAGTAGCTGAAGTTCCCTTTTACCTCATTCAGATTTACAGACTGTAGGCAAGCCTTTCTGAAAATAATACCTTTTTATTTTCACACGGAGAACTCCAGTATGCAAAGTCAGAATTTAACACTTAGTAATTAAAGCTGGCTTTTATTAAAGAAACTAAATATGGAACAAAAGCAAAAATTTAGATTCCGAAACATGTAAAAGGCAGATAACTGCATTGTAGGTTTTTTCTATCCAAATAATATTTTCACATGAGAAGAAAAAGCCAAAGTCTTGTATGAATATATATATGTAATGTTTCAAGAATATTTGGGATGAAATTTTGACCAAGTTGTACGTGCTATGTGAAGAAATTTTTCTGGTAACAAAGCAGACTAATTTGTATGCATCATAAAGTCTGTTGTCATAAGTAAAACGAGGATGTTGAGGTTTTGGCATGGTTTGCGGGGGCACAACAAAGTTACATCTGTTTCTAAGATAGTACTTAGCTACAATGTGCCGGTGTGGTTAGCACAAAATATGTAGAGTGAAGAGACACAACATTATTTGCCTGAAGTGATAAGCTTACTGCGTTCTATTCTGAGCTTTGTATATCACATATAGATGCTTTGATCTGCTACCACTAGACTACCAACTTTCCTTTCAAAATCTGACTGTCTTTAATCAACAAAGAAACAAACCTGCCGTTACTGAAATCAGCAATTCTAAAAATCTGACAAAATGTTTATTATTTTATCATGACAGAAAACAGAATGTATTTTACAAGTGAGCCTGCTAGTCATTGTCTAACTATAACTATGCCAGTTTCTCTTTTTTGTATGCTGCTGTTGCTTTTTTGATACATAATTTTTTTATACCTCAAGCAGGCAATTTAGAAACCTCATTAGGAACATCAGCAAATGTTATGCAAGTACATACTGTGTCACGCATACTTGGCTAAAAAGTAATAAAGATACATTAAAAAAGTAAAAGTATTCTGTGCAGATAGCACTTCTCAACAAAGGGCAAAGGTTTGTGGTTCCCTATGAGTTAGCTGACTTCAATGGGACTATTTGTATTCTTAGAGAGCATCATATGTTTGAGTACTTTGCTGAATCAAACCAGGGAAAGGAAGCTTTAAATGTTTTGTGTAATTGTTACCAGGGTACTGCCAAATGCAGAAAAAAATACCCCAGAATGACAGAGCAGTGTTCAGCTATGAGTAGGCATCTTGGAAGTATTTACTTATTAATTATGTTTCTAAACTAGTAAGACAATGTAGAATGCACAAGATTTGCTAACATCTTGGGCAGCTGACAGATTGCAAATTAGAAGGTATACTGCGTTCAGATAATCACAGTTACCTACTTGCTATGTTCAGTCTTCAGAGAACTTGAAACTGTAGATAAGAAGAATGAGTACCACTGAAAACTGAGGATTTATTAGACATCTCAATGTTGAATTCCAGAGGAATTAATTGCAAAGACTCTTCTAAAATTTATGTTAAAAATTTCATGAAATTTTCATAAAAAAACAGTTCCTATCTGTTAGCACCTTATAGTTAGCCATCACTAGCCACAAGAGAATGGAAAAGTTGAATAAAACTGCAAGGAAACACAAACATCCTATTAACAAGAAAATTTCTATGAAATCTATTCCAGAACAACTTCCAGGAAAGCCAGTAAGAGTCAGACTGGATATAGAAAAAGAAACAACCATTTCAGCAGTAAATAAGGAGAGTGTTTCACCAAGACTGCTTACAAAGCTGTGCGGTGTGGTTGACACGGTGGAGGGAAGGGATGCCATCTAGAGGGACCTTGACAGGCTTGAGAGATGGGCCTGGGCAAACCTCATGAAGTTCAACAAGGCCAAGTGCAAGGTTCTGCACATTGATCGGGGCAATCCCAAGCAGAAGTACAGGCTGGGCAGAGAATGGATTGAGAGCAGCCCTGCCAAGAAGGACTTGGGGGTACTGGTGGATGAAAAGCTGGGCATGAGCCAGCAATGTGCGCTCGTAGCCCAGGCGGCCAATCGTATCCTGGGCTGCATCCAAAGAAGCGTGGCCAGCAGGTCGAGGGAGGTGATTCTGCCCCTCTACTCTGCTCTGGGGAGACCCCGCCTGGAGTACTACATCCAGCTCTGGGGCCCCCAACATAAAAAGGACATGGCCCTGTTGGAGCTGGTCCAGAGGAGGGCCACGAAGATGATCAGGGGGATGGAACACCTCTCCTGTGAGGACAGGCTGAGAGACTTGGGGTTGTTCAGCCTGGAGAAGAGAAGGCTCCGAGGACACCTTATAGCAGCCTTTCAGTACCTGAAGGGGGCCTGCAAGAAAGCTGGAGAGGGACTTTTTATGAGGGCATGTAGTGATAGGACAAGGCGTAATGGCTTTAAACTGGAAGAGGATATATTTAGATTAGATATAAGGAAGAAATTCTTTACTGTGAAGGTGGTGAGGCACTGGAACAGGTTGCCCTGTGAAGCTGTGGACGCCCCACCCCTGGAAGTGTTCAAGGTCAGGTTGGATGGGGCTTTGAGAAACGTGGTATAGTGGAAAGTGTCCCTGCCCATAGCAGGGGGTTTGGAACTAGATGATCTTTAAGGTCCCTTCCAACTCAAACCATTCTATGATTCTATGATTCGATGATTAATCTGCCACAGAAGGCAACATCTGCTAGGTGTCATCATGTGCCATAGACATTTTTAGACAATCACTTGTCATGTGTGAAAATGTGCAACGTGTGTCTGGAGTATATGGTGCCCTTGAATACACTGTGCTGATTAAAAAATTACTTTTAGTCAATTACTGAAAACAGTTGTGTGGAACCCCACTGTAAATTCTAGTGACTACCGATATTATGTGCAGAATTAGCAATGGGACAACAAATAGTGTAGCGCCTACCTTACTGCTTCATTTGGGGCCTGCTCAGTACAACATGATGGGAGGGGAGGTTACTGGGGAGCAGCACCCTGTGCCACCCACACCCTTGAGCTGTGTGTGGTGCTGCACTGGGGAAAGAGCCTGCAGATTTTTAGTGGTAGCAGAGTTGAGCTGTAATGGAAGGTTAGAAATAGAAAGGTTGGATAACAAAGATTCATCATCTCTGCTGTCAACAAGCACTCCATTTTCATGTACACGATGTCTTTTTGGTAGTTTATCCTGATCTTAGAGAAAACAGTGTTTTCATTTACTGATTTTATTAGCTATGATTGCAACATGTTTTTAAAAATTAATTGATTACAGCATTTAATTCTTTAAAAATTAATGAATTAATAAACTATACACATAACAAAAGGTGACCAGATATCTTAGCTCACTTACAAGTGACATACTCTGTTCTTATACCAATTATTAATGAACACACTATCATCAGCTCTATTTAAGTTCAGAAACTGGTTTAATTTTATTCAGAAGTATCATCAGATTATTTAGTATGAACTAACCATAACTTTCACTGGGTTTGGTTTTTCTTTTTAATTTAAAGTAACACAAAATATGTAATTGCAATGGGATTTTGCTCTCGCAACAATAAACAATCCATCCTTTCCCATGGAAGGGAGGACTAGAGATCTAAGACACATTTCTTACCAACTTAAAAAAAAAAGATTTCTTAATGTTCATGAGCAACAATTTTTCACACATCGATGTCTTTACACGTGGTGTTTTTTCCATCAGTTGATTGTGCTTGTTCAGATCTTTGGAGAAAGATTTTAATATCCTATGGAAAGGAAAATGAAATGTTAAGAGGTCATTTCATGTCACAGCCTGATCTACCTTAAAACTTGTACTAATAATGATTGTCTTTCCATGGGGTGAGCTTTCTAACTAGTGACTAGAAGATTATGATGAAAAACTAACTTCAGTGGAGATATATTACTATAAATTACACTTTCCCTAGGTTACATAAGATGTCTTCCAGAAGGGCACTAAAAACAATGCTGTCATTCAGCTTAAGCACTATGTATGTACAGCACACTAATAAAAACATAAACATACAGTGACAATTGTGGAAAGAATGTTCTTCATGGCAAATTCTAAAACAGTTCCTGATGTATCACTGATATCACTGAGACGATGTTTTCATGTTATCCACACAAAATCATTGCCTTCAGCGGTTTTACAAAACTACAGTGTGTTAGAATGCAGTTCTTAAAGTAAGCAAAGGTCTTAAGCATTGGCTTAAACTTATCAGTAAACAGAGGTATTGAGACTGTTGTTTAAACCAGCAAATATTATTCAGAACATACAGAGACAAATTCTTCAATAAAGTTTCTTCTTTATATGTCGTATATCAGCCTGAACTTAAACAAACTTCAAGGAAATGGAAATAAAAGAAAATAAGTAACTAACATTTGGAAAAACACATACCTGCATTTAGTTAATTTTTTGTGCAGTTCTGCATTCTTTATAACACATTGTTTGATTTGTTAATTTTCAATAATTTTGTATTAGCACAATCTTCTCTATTTCCAATTTCAGCAATACTATCCATTATGTAAGTAGGATGAATAAGGAATTTTTGATTTAAAAAAATAATGTGCTGAATGTTTAATACAAAGATAATTAGTAATTTAACTTTATAGCATTTTCTGGTATTGTCAGTAAACACATTTTTCCTTTAGGAGAATAATTAATGGTCAGGATTTTTATAAAATAAATTAGTTTAAATTCAAATACATAATCCAATATGTATTTTGTGCATATTTTGAAGATAGAGCCTTTTTTCAAAAGCAGAAACTGCCTGTACGTAATGATGCCTCACATGCCTTGCAAAATATCAGGAGCACTTCAGTGAATACAGAAAAAACATGTTAAAAGATAATTTTACCAGTCTTTTGTTTTAGAAGGTAGTACTAACATTTATCTTTGACTCCAAGAAATACTTCAGTTTAAGGAGGCCTTTTTCAGCACATTGAGTCAGAAAAAAGAGTTTCAATTCCGGTTTGACAAAAGTAAATGTTAGCAAATGGAACTTTCAGCAAGTTCATTATCAGTACTTATCATTACCACACGAAGCAGATGAGGATCTCAGTAAACTGTGGTGCTTCTGGCATGATAGAATGTGCATTTTATTATAAGAGTTCTAAATATAAAGTACAAGTCTATGTTCCTGTAAAAAAGAAGTTTGAGAAAGCTACTGCTGATCATCATGGAGCAAATGATATCTAGAGACACGTCCAATACTGTCATTGTGTTCATTTGTGTGGGAAGTGGAAATTTTATGCTCTAGCAATGTCACAGAAATGTATGTTAAATATCAGTCTAAAATTAAGAATGGCATGATTGAAGATTATAATCTGATGCAGAAAAGAGAGTGACAGAACAGCATTTAAGAACTTGTTAAGAACGAAAAAAAGTGTCCTCTGGACAGATTTATGTAACTACCAGTTTTGCAGAGGAAACCAAAACTAAATAACCTCAAAACACTGGAGAAATAGTACTCCAACAGATTTACTATGTCTGTGTTTAAAGAAGCTGTTACATGAATAGATACTTTTATCATTTTTTAATGTAAGATGTATATTTGCATTTCCTGAGATTTTTTTGATAGAATACATGATGAAGAGAAGTATAACATAGATCTCTTTTTTAAACTAGGTATTTAAACACTGGGTTAAATTTTCCTTCTCTTGCACACTGGGACATTTAAAACACCACATGAAAAAGGCTTCTCAAGTTTCATAAGTATTACAACTACTGCTTATGAGTAGACAGTGATTCAGCAGTGTTTTTTTCTGCCAAAGCATTGACTATGAACTATATGGTCCACCTCATAAGCCTTACTGAATATAATCTGTATGAACTCTCCCTAGACAGAAAGCATTTTTACTTTGTTAAATGATACCCGGAGTTCTGAATGTTTGTTGAGTTGTGCAATATTAAATGGCTGCTGTGAGTAAAGACGGGTTTTGTAATAATTGTTCAACATACTAATAAATGTTTTTTTGATAAAGACATGTTACTATAAATTATTAGAAATCCTATCTCAGAGGAAGTCCTATTTGAATGAATATCTGAGTAATGTTGCTGAAATGATTAACAAAACCAACAACAATGATTAACAAAACCAACAACAATAACAGCATTAATAATATGACAATTAATTTAGAAAGAACAAGCTTGATGCAAGGGCCTGTTAAATGATAAAGTTAAAAGTATTCAAAACACAGGTGCATAGAACTACAACGTGATAACCCTATCTTCAAAACTAGAGCTTTTTAAAAAGGACTATTCAGGATTTGAAAGCAGGGTAAAAAATATAACAACATTATCAATTGCATAATAGTTTTGATATCAACAAACTGAATGCTAATTATCAAACTACCTTGTTATCCTCAATAATTATTAGAATGTAGTCCACTCAAAATAACAGATTAATGCAAGCATTAAGAATTATAGAAGTAGAATATATCCCAGACTCTTTATTTAAATTTATCACAATCAAAATGCAGAGTTACTAAAATGTGTCATTGTTTCTTTATTACTGTTTCTGTGACAGTCTCAGGACAGAAGGCAAAATTTGTAACAAGGAATAATACCAGGCCTGAAGAAGACCCCTGAATAGACCAACCTTAATAGACAAACCCATGCAGTGGAAAAAGCAGAATTGCTTGCTTCTTCCATCTGAATCAGTTGGTCTAATAAAAATATTCTCTCATTTATTATTAAATGTATAAAGACAATGTCATTCAGAATGTAACGAAGTACATTCATAAACACACACTCACATATAGGTGTGGTCTAACTATTCTAAAGGAATAAATTGCATCTTATAAGTGAAAAAAATGTGTTGATAATGGCAAACCCCTTGAAAGTTCTAGTCAGGACCAGAAAGACTTCTAATCAGGACAGAAAAGACCAGAAGAAAAAGTAATAGAATTTCCAAGCTTATTCATTTGTTGGCATTTGAACTGAGGCCAACAGAAAGGTCATCATCATGTCAGATATTGCCAGCCCACTGGTATATGAACTGAGAAAACAAACTCCCTTCAAAAGGCAAGAACATATCTCACCTGGAGAAAATATGTTTATCAGAGATAGTATTGGTTAAAATTGAACAGGTCATCAAGAGGCCAAAGGAATCAGGTACCCTAACTCAAATTTAAAAAATTGTAAGCTAGATATTCCATTTATAGTTTTCAGCAAAACATTTTATTTTCCACTGTTTATGACTGCAGTAGTAGAAACATTTTAACCTTAGAAACCACACCCTAACTTGCTATATTTATCTTGTAAAAGATCTCAAAATAACAGCACTGTGGTTGAATTTAATTTTTATAGAGATTTTTATAGTCTTGGGAGCACCTCTGAAAAAATAATTGATGCTAAAAATATTGTTTACTTACTTTGGAAATGTTTTGGGAAGAAAAAAGTTCACCTGTTCACCAAATATAGTTCTCTGAAGAATTGTCAGAGGAAAACCATTCCTGGAGTACATATGTTTTAGACCAGAATCCTAACCTACATAAAACAATGGCCACTGGGTCTCTATGCCTGCTTGCTAGTGAATATAATAATTTTCTGTAAAGTTGAGTAAGAACTTGTGGTCTTAGCTCTTCCCCAGTTAGTCAGAATTTGAAAGTAAGACTGTGAAGTGTTCATTTCATGCATAAAACAGCAGTCTGTATTTACCAGTACAGTCAAGGAATATAATCTTCTCTTTTTAAGTATAGAAACCATAGAGCACTATATTTGAGATACAGTCAGTATAAGCCCTTGCAAGAGGAAATTTTAAGTATTAGAAATGAAAAGTGAAGCTCTGCATCTACTAACTGTCAAGTCAGGAAATACAGGCACCAAATGAATCTGCTAAATAAGTAGAAAAATGTATTATTTAAATGCAATGATACCAATATGTCTTTGGTAGACAAGCTGTGGAAACTCCTTTGAGCTAGAGGATGTGCGCTGAAACCCTCAGCTACTGCCAAGATTCATATACGATAGTTTCTCACCTACACCTTTTCTCATACACTGACAATTTTTATAACTGTACTACCCTGAGCATATCCTACCAGCCACAAATAACATAGGTGATTGATGGTAGCTAATAATTTTTAAACATATACTACAGTCTACTCTTTAAGCTATATAACATAGTTCCTCCTGAAAGTGGTACTGGAAGATTAGAAATTTTGATAAAGAATAGCTGCTGTGCTCTTGATATTCAGCTATCGGTTAGTGTGAAAATGTTTTAAAAAGAAGTCCCCCTCCCTGTAAATAGCAGAGTATATGCATATGGCATTGCTCAGTTTACACCCTAGTTAAGTGTTACTTTAGGTTGCATCACATTTGGTCTTCATGGGGAGCTTGCATTATGTTAGATGTTGCAAAGTCAGTGAGGTGCTTGTGTAAAGAACAGTTCTTGAGATGAATCATGTATAGAACAGAGAGCTAGTTTAAGAAATGCTTTGGTTACAAGAAATTCAGTGAAGTTGGAAAAAATGTTCAAATTAGGAAATGCAGTAATCGATTAAATAAAAAGGGTCAGGAAGAAAGAATGGGGAAGGGAAGGGAAGGGAGGAATACCTAACATTCCATGGTGTCTATCTTCCCAAATTGGCTGAGACATTAACATAGGCAGGCTAGATACTCATTGATAGTTATAATCTTCAGTTGTGTTGTCTTTGTCTTACATTTTCCTTTCGTATCTCTTTCTATTGTAGCAAATAGATTTTTAACCTCTACTTTGACAGAGTAAATATTTTCTTATATTCCTATATCTTGCCTTCTACTAACAATGATTATGAGTGATATAATAAATGCTGGGCACTTCACTTCTTACAAGTGATGAATATAATTAAGAAATAGTAAGTTACTCCTGGAGTATCACGTATCTTATTCAGATTTACAGTTTGTGAGACACTATGTGCCCCTGCTGGTGAACATCTCAAACTTGTAAAGACTGGTTAAGTTTGATCTTTGGGCATGCAAATGCAAGCATCCTTTCATCTTGTCTCACACTATTTTCTTCCATTCCGTGTATCACATATTTTTGCCATAGTTCGACACATTTAATAGGTTGACACTCTGGCCCAAACTTGCCTTATGTGCAACTGTTTAATGCACATTTAAACATAAGTGCAGGTAACAGGGCAGCTCTAGAGTATGGCAGGGAAGAACACTTGAACCTGTACTATCTCTGCATACCCTCTTCTGCAGCCTGGTTGGCCTGGGATGGAATGTGTTCTATCACATATCCCATAGTGTCTTGCAGTAAGATCCTGTTGGGAAGAAAATTCAACCAGGCTCCTTCCTATGGTTGGGGGAAAGGCAATACCACATGTGACGAGGCAGTAGAAAACCTATAGGCAGCTATAGGCCAGCAAGACAGGTATAAAAAAATAGGTCAGAAAGCAGTGCAGTGTTTGATGGATAGAGTTTTCATGGAAAACAAAAAACCTGATCTAATCTACAACCTGCTGTGCTGTATATCTGGTCTACAGTGCAAATTGGCAGTATCTAAATTAATCACATTTACATTTCTGGGATAATGCAAATTTCAGTATATGTACTCACAAAGTTCTTGGTCCCAGAAAGCAATACTTACAGGGAGCTTGTATTCTTGATACCTGTTGATCAAGTCTTGAATGAAAGGATGCTTCAAAAGGAGTGCAACTGGAATGGGTGTCAGATCTTCAGTGCCTAATTCTTTGTATATTTTGATGAAATGCTTTAAGAAAAAATAATATGTGGGCAATTTATTAAGTGTTTAAAAAAATTTGGGGAAAAGCAAAGATTGCAGCAGGTATTTATTTAACATATAATGCAAGGCACAAAACCTTTGAATCAACCAGCCTACCTTATCATAGCAGCCTTCCTTCTCCAGATTACTGTATCTATGATTATCTTCACCTTTACTTCCTCCAGTGTGAAACACTTTGAGTAGAGTTGCCACTGAAATTATTCCTTCACCCTTGTAATCCAAGACTTCTTTTTCATCTTCTATTAAAGTGTTCTCATTTGGCACTATGTTGGTATAAGGAAAAGCCTAAGAAAATAAAGCGTAGGTATAATACTTGGTGATAAATAGTCTGTCAGTAGGTCATCTGTTTCAGTTAGACATTCATTAAGGATCAGTGGATTATACTTCCAAACTTCAGTTCTTACAAAACAAAAATCATCAACTCACACAAAATTATCTACTGAATTATAGGATGAAGGAATAGATCCTGAGAGTCCAGAAATATCTATAATGTTGGTGTTAGTAGAAATTTAATAAACAACTTTTTCCAGGAACGTGGCCAACATTCCACTGAGAAATTAATATTCTTCAGAGCAACAAAACATAGAAATACTTAATAGTTACAAATTACAGTACTCTACCAAGAACTTTGTGTTTGTATAAGGAGTAAAGTTGGTAATTTTCGATGTTCACATGAAAAAAGCAGCATGAATTTTCTAGTCCAAATCAAGGAGTCACTGCAAGAATTTTATTTTGGCTAACAACATCGGCTTACCAGCTCTCCACAGAAAAAGATGAGAAAGGCTTTATGCAGAAAAATTAGAAGTTTACTCTAAACAAGCAATGAGGTATCTTTGTGGGGTTATTAGAAATGGCCAAAGAGAAAAAAAAACAAAACCCTGCTGTAGAGATTTGCAAGCACAAAGATGAGAAAAGACCTCATATAGGTTAACAATGCTTTGACTAGATTAGGCCTATGTGTAGACTAACCACTAACAACAACAGGAAATCGCATTTAATTGAACATACCATTTCTTTCCTCATTAGGAGGGAGAGACTGCTGAGATTGTTACACTTGTGCTACGTCTTAGGCCTTAATACATGTCTTTTTCAACACAGGAGGAGCAGAGTCATTGATACAGCCTTTTTAACACTCAACGGTGGAGATTACACAAATATCAGCACTCAGGTTTTCCTGTCTCCCACTGCACCATTTACATTTAGCTATAAAATCTACACAACCAATAACAAAATTATTGAGACTTAAAAGCTAAGCATTTTAAGTGAAAGGGTCTTTGCTATGATGTTAGTAAAAGTAACAAAAGTCTCTAAAATATGTTTGTCTGATCTCCTCCTATTAACATCATTAAAGTTTCAGACGTACTTCTGTAGGCAGCTACCAATGAAAAATCATTACAATTATGGGCACAGAACAAGAAAAAGAGAAGAGCCAATTTAAATTAGGTGCTGCTGTGTAAGCACCTACTCATAAGCTGGCTATCTAAGGTGTATTACAAAACTTCTTTGAGAAGAGCTGGATAGCTCTTTATAGTCTGCTGATGAATATTCCACTGATATTTACTAGATTTCCAGTACCTGTAGTGAGAAATGGGATATTTACATCACATGTGAAGAGGCACAGGTAGACAAAGGTTTAGGTTTTTAATTTGGTGCTGAAAACCACTTTAGATGTCTTCAGGGATCTATGTCTTTTCTATCTGATGGATCTTTACTCACACATGACATGATACCAACTCATAATTTACTTTTTGCCCCCTTGTGGTTGTTGAATATCCTGCATGAAAAGCTGGCCCTACTGAAGCCAGTGGTGAAAACTCATTCACTTCAGTGGAACAGGATTTTATTTGTTCTCTTTTTTCTGTATTCAACATTATTGTTAAAGTGTACACATATGGAACACAAGGCATAAGAAGAAAAAAAAGATTAAAATTATGTTCTATCAGTCCTGCAATTCTGAGCACCAACCTATAAAAGACAACTATAAAGTCAAAGAGAATCCACACATGCAAGATCTTAATTAACATCTAATTCTTAGGTATTTCTAGGTTTCTAAGGGACTCCCCAAGATGAATTAGGCACACAAAATACATTGTGAAACATACATCAGACATAGCACAGATTCACAAAGCCAATACATTGAGTGGGAAACTAAGCATGAGAAAATTCTCAGGTTGGATGGGGTATAACTCTTGCTCCTCAGAGATACATTGTTCATCCTAGATTGAAGGGAAATGTTTCCCTTCACCTGTGACTCACAGCCTTAAGAAGTCATTGACACATAGGTGATAATGCCAGTGCAGTTACTTACAATCTTACAGAAGTCCCAACCAAACAGATCAAACCAAGCAGAAAACAGTAAGGAGGAGAACAGGTTGTGTTGCTTTATATTCAATGATGTCAGAGTTAGAAATACAATATACAATAATATATTTTGTCACTTGAAATGATAAAATGTAATTAGGAATATGTATAGGATTACACTGTATGGTAAATAATGCCCTTTCTATACTGTTTCTGGAGAGCACAACTGTATTTTAAGTATCAGGCAAATGCTAGAGTCACTGTGGTTGTGACAACATAGTGAAACAGTTTATTACCTAGAAGAGCGTGCTCTTTCCAAGGTGGGTACAGATGTATATTTTATGTCTCAAAAAATGACTTATACTTCAATAATAAGTACCTGATACATGCAGTGCACTAATGGCAGGTTTGAGCCTTTAAAAATAACAACATACTCCAGAAATACTAACAATGTTCAAAACCCAGCTTCATTTGATGTGACAATATGTTAATCATGGCTCTAAAAATAATTTTAAAACTATTTTATATGAAACTAACTATTAATTATTAATCCTTCTGATTTACAGGTAAACCAAAACACTTGGAAAAGTATATACACAAAGGTGTATATACTTCTAAATACCCCAAAGAAACATAGTGGAAAAAAAGTAAGACCAGCAATAATATCAGGTTTTTATCTTTAGATAACAATACCATAAGTCACACTACAGTCTAATTCCTGGAGATTGATAGCTAGACTTAATTGCCTAAGATTAGGTCAAAGAACGTCTTCTGTTCATCTGTATAAGTAGTTACCGGTAAATATGTTAAACTTTCATTATTATTTGGCAAGCAAATTTTCAGACTTTTGGAAGAATACTTCTGAGTATTATTACCAAAGTCAGTGGAACTATTTGCAGAGTTCCCATGAAGTCAGTGGGACTACTTCTAAGGACTGGAGCTACCCAGGATAAGAAGATATGCAGAAACCTAGCTCATTTAGAATTTGCAAGCACCACTACTATTCTCTAATATTTTACTGTAATATTTTACCGCATATGGAAGCGAAGCCACTTCTTTTCTATGAATATATGTTCCAGTTGCAATGCTAAGTGCTCTGTAAACACCTTCAACTGGATCAGAGTGGGAGGCAAAATAAAGTAGCATGTCAGTGTAGTTGAGCAGAGGAGGATCTTTTCTGGTATCAGCAAATAAATGGAAGAAAAACTATAAAAGGACAAAAATTTGTAAATTAATTTCTACAAGTGACTTTTAATCAAATACAAATCAAAGACAGTAGAGAAAAGGACAAAATAAAGTAATGACTGCTGATAAGTGTTGAGGCTGTGTAAATCAAGATAAATCAGAAGTGTATCTGAGTCATTCAAGGAAACAGAAATTGTACTATTTTCTTTTCTAGATTGAGGACTTTCACAGAACAAGGAGAAATTCATAAAATCTTGTATCATGACAAATAGGTCCAAAACATTTTCTTCTATTCAGATCACACTATAACCTCCCTCTTCCACGGACACTGCCATGAGCTTAGATGCAGGGATCATTTGCCTCCCAATCTTTACGAAGTTCGTTACTATGTAGCAAAATTAATGCAGTTCAAAGGAGAACAGGAATAATTAAGTCTTTCTGAGTAGACTATGATTTAGAATACTGAAGGACAATTCCTAGATTCCTTTCTGCATTATTTCTAGCTTTGAGTTTTTATATGTGGAAATCATATTCTAAAGCACCACCTGACCTCAAAAACCACTGAAACATTGCAGCAGTTATGGAAAAAAAAGAGTCCCAAGAAACTTATTTGAATGAGACCTCTCAGGTTAGAATAGTGAGTCGTCTCTTCAAAATACCTATGTTTTAAAAGTTACCTTTATGAGATGTCTTAGCCTATCTAAAGGCAAAGGTTCTGTGCAACTTTTTGTTACGCTTAGATCTTCATTTCCTTTAAACCATAAGCCAACCTGATTAAAAAAAAAAAGTAATTTATTTTCACACATTAAAATAAAGTGGTCTTTATGCTCTATAATTGTTCAACAGACAGATTACTAAGAGTTTAATTCCCGGACTTAATCAAGCTGAACTTGCTATTAATATACAATGACATCAGAATAATTAAGTAGCTGTTTGTACTTTGTAACAGATACTTTGGGAATTACTGAAAATGGAGTAGGATAGAAGTGACTCTATGCTCTTGAAAAAAGTGAAAATTAACCAGGTAGTTGTAGACCTACACTGCCAAAGAAGCAGAATATGATGCAGAGTTTCTATGTGTGTTCCATGTTTCTTCCTTTCAGGGTATCCTTTGCTACCCCATAGCTTTTGTCTTAACTGTACTTTTGGAAGAAACTGTCCACACACTTCAGTATAATGGACAGACGCATGGCTCTTCCAATGCTTGCCTGCTCCCAACAACAAGACTTAGTGTCCTGTAATACCTACAGAACTATACCTACAACTGTAAAATAACAGTGCCCAGAACCAATTTTCCAATACTAGACCCAACACACAGGAAATATCAGCTAGATTTTACCTTCTAAAACAGGATAGCCATGAACAGGCTGCCTAGAGAAAAATCCACTTGCTTGGAAGTGGCCCATGTTAAACCATGGCAGGTTGTACAAACAATGTCACTGTATGGACAATTGGGTACCATTACCTGGGGCTGTTCCCTAGCACTGTGTAGTTTACTAGTACAGGTGCAAATAGAGGGGCCAGCTGGGGCACCTCAGATTCCCAGTGGAAGGTTCTTCCTGTTATTCTCAATGAACATTGCTTGTCATTGTTTCTTGTTAAGACAGTAAAATAAAATAAATAAAGTTTCATGACATTTTGAATGCATGTAAGTCTCAGTATTAAACAGAGAATAAAGTTTGTTTCCATTTTTATTGAAAGATTTTAACATTTGAAAACATCTCAGTATATTCCCTATCAGATTAATAGACTAATACGGAACATTTCAAATAGTTGAAAATCTTCATGAATCACAGATGTTATAAGAGATGCAACAGCCTTTCAGTGTAGGCATTAAATTAAAATATTGTAACAAAGCTATAAATTTCATTAGCAACATCCTTTTCCACATTTCAGGTGAATTACTACATTCTTGATTATATAAAATACTGCATTATTATTATTATTATTATTATTATTATTATTATTATTATTATTATTATGTGTTTTCCTTACAAAGCAAGATAATGAAATAGGGCAAAACAGGAAGTTCCAAGAGACTTTCAGGAAGGAAAAGAAATTAGTAAAGATAGTTTACTGCTTTTTCCCCGTGTGAGTTACCTGGGAAAACTGAGCAAATTAATAACAAGAAAATAGACTTCATGTTGCCTTTGAGATCTTTACCAGAAATATATCAGATGTTTTGCTGTAGATGATATAATTATAATATCAATGATAACAATTGATGAACAATTATTTTACTAACTCTCTGCTATTGCTCTTTCCTTGATTTTATGGACTGCACTGACTCATTAATTCTCTAGTGCACCATGCTCCACAGAACATGAATCATTATTTTTTCAAGAAGGAAATGAATAAGAAAGAAATGAAACAAGTATTGACCTCATAAAATTTGCCATGAATTGCTCCAAAAGTATACAACAAACACTGCAATAAAAACAATTCAGGTGTTCCTTATCAATTAATTTTAAATTAGAGGACTAAATTTTACTTAAGTCTGAAAAATTCTGTTCCTGCTCTTTTCATAACTTATATGCAAATATTCCAAACCACAGTACCGTTGTTAACATGAACTGTAGGACCTCATATATAGAAGATATACAGGGTTTTCATGAGGTTTTTAAGTGAAGAAAGTTTTGGTCATATTTGCAAACATGAAATAGGGGTGACAGACATTACAACTTTTATTTGCAATATGAATTGGTCGCAGAGCAAAATCTTCAGATCAATGCAGGCTGTTGAACTGAGTTGCTTTGGATAGTCTCCAGAGGTTCCCATAATGTTGTCTTGAGCACCTAAGTTATGTGCATACCTATACAGTCCTCTCCTGAAAAAGGAGCGTCAGCTGTGGAGTTACCTGTGTGTTTATGAACTTTTTAGTCCTTTTTAGTCTTTAAGTAACTGTATGAGACTGCAGGTTCAGATTCATCACTCTCATGGAAGTTTGGAAGAACTAACAGGGGGTAGGTCTATAAACAAATGAGTATACACCATTGCATATTTACTATCATTGACTGAATGTGAGCCAATTCCAATCCTGAAGTGAGTAAATGAATTGCTCAGTTAATATTATATTTGAACTAGGAACCTGAGTTAAAAATGTACATTCACAGTCTGCATGTCTTGTAACTGTTAGCTTATTTTTAAACTCTCACACTTCAGTAAAGATTACCACATCAATAGACAAATAGATGCAGATAGACCTGCACATTTTGTGGGTTTTCTGGCTTTGCAGAATTTGTTTCTTTGCAAGTCTGGGCTGAGTAAGGGTTGGCAGGCACTCCTGGAAGTTTTAAATTAATCAAAGTGGTTCTGAAACTGACAGCCTTCTGGAATAACACAGCTTCTATTTAATTTTTGAAGAAAACTAATACTAGGTGATCGGAAAATAAACTGCAATAAAGGTTCTATGAAATTTATTTAAAACAGTTTGAAAATTATTTTAGTATCACCAAACAAATACAAACTGACAGAACTGTAGAACTTTTGTGTATACATGCACGCACATTGATATCTACATATATATGTATATCTATATATATTGTATATAATATACATATAATATATGGCTAGTACACATTAAAAGAGTGAACCAGCAGTTATCCTAAGTATCATCAAAAATCCAAAGTAAAAGGAAGTGAAAATTTAATGAGCTAAAAGAAAAATGTATTCTTAATACTCTTTCATGAAACTTGCTTCCTGAAAAACCTTACTGAACTATGCAATGGCTCAAATAGAAGTTGTGTTTAGAGAAAAGAACAGATCAAAGAATTTTATCATTTTCCATGTATTGAAGGTCTGAAAAACAATCTTCATTCACAAAAATTCCTTATTGGAAAAATTCTCAAAATATTTAGTTAAAGTAGAGCTGGTGAGCCCAAACTAAAACACTCATTTCTGTTTGGAACAAATTTTTGTCTTACAGATACGGTGTCAAACAAGTTAATAGTAGTCAAAGTGCTCACAGAATAGTTTCTTTAGAACAGGAAGGATTTTCACTTGAAATTAATTTACGGGGCAAGTAGGAAATGGAAGTAAAAAGTAAGCTTAATTAGGCTGATTTGTGGAAGTATGGATAAGATAGATATTAGGCCTTCAATTTCCTGAAGACAATTTTCACTAGAAGGCACCCTCAAAAACCAAAACATTTAAAATTCAGACTGAATTTCTGAATGTGAATAAACCCAGCAATACATCATTCACTTCAGAGAGTTTAACAAAAGAATATTATTCAAAAGAGAAAAGAATTATAACCTGCATATAGTATTCCTGTGTAACAAAGCCTGATCCAGCTACATCAACAGACTTGAAGCTATGTAGCGTTTTGAGAAGTTGTGCCACAGATGGCACTGGCCAAGGCTGTGCTGCTGCTAGCAAGAATCTGCGCCAGTCAGTAAGTTCTGAGTTCACTGTGAATGCAGATGCCAGATTTTGTAGCTATAAAAACAAAACCATAAATATTGTCAAATATGCATGCATAAACATACACTTTCTATATACCATGTATCCTTAGGTCTTTTTCCTGGTTAGGATGGACAAGGTTCTGCAGTGAGATTTCAAAGATGTATAAAGGACATTTTTCACTAAACAAAACAGGCCACAGACCACTGTCTGTCACTGAGGCCAATTGGCATCTGTAGTTGATACCCCCCTAAATAAATACTCTGACTCCCTAAATAGGGATAACGGCCCTTAGTACATGCTAACCTCTGAACCATGCTCCATCTCGGAGAGTGCTAAGAATTGAACTGACAATTCTTATTGTCAGTTCAGCAGCATGAGTACAAAATCTAGTAAATGCTTGGGCCTGTGCCATGGCCCTATTTTGCTTACTCCTAAAGGTGTCCACCACATGGCTTTTCTCTCTTCTGGCATAATTATCAGTTAGAAAAAAGTAGTAGTAGAAAAGCTGCTTTGCAGCTTGCTGCATGTGTCTTTTTACCACTGAAGACATATGTGGATAGCAGAGCAGAGTACAGAACACAAATAGGAGAACACATGTAAGATCTCCTGACACTGCATTGCGAAGGCTGTATCTGATAGAAGGAGCAAAATTGGCACAGTTCGTTTTTGCACTACTGGTGTGGTGAGACCCTGCTATGCACCTCTACACTATCTTCTGCCCCACACCCAGATTTCCTTGTCAAGGGAAGTGCCTGGTTTGCTCCAGACAGGAGTTCAAGAAGGAAGCAATGTGTTTACAGGAATAAGGGCCTGGGGCAACAGAGAGTGAGACAATTTGGTAATGTTGTGGATGTCATCTGCCCTAACATTGGCAGATACAGTACCACTTATTATAATTTGAAAACTTATTTGAAATTCTATTAAGTCACACAATGATGAAATGGCAAGTTCAGTTCAGAATAGCTTGTGCAGAATAAATGTATACATTAGATCATGCTTCATGCATTTCCTTTTGTATGTAAGTGCTTGCTTTCACTATAAATTTCAAAGTCTCATTTTAAAACAGTGCTTTTAAGGAAAGGAAGTTCTGTTATTAAAATCAAAATAGTACTTATAAGCACTAAAAGCTCTTGAAGAATAAAGAACATGGGATACATGCACATGTGATCGATTAATAAACAATGTTTGGCTCATAAACTATAATTAATTATAACTATATTATAATTATATAACTATATATAACTATATATAGTTATATTTATTATATATAACTATAATTATATAATTATAACTATAAATAAACTCATAAATAGAATTAATTTTCTGTGCTAAGATTAGATTTTTATATACTGATGATATAGTGCCTAGTTTTCACTAAACTCAGTGGAAATCCATCACTCAGAAACTTTAAAATGGTTTACTCATGCAGTTCATCTGTGTGAAGAATATTTGAATAAAGCTGTTTCCGTCATGTAAAATCCAATTAAAATCTTAATGTGAATCATGGCTTACTGTCAGAAATAATTATCAAAATATGCTAAAAAAAGTAAACCTTTTCATCTCATAGGTCTACCAGCAACATCTGAAAGTAAAATTAATCAGAGAATTCAGTGATGGAAGATCTGGAAAGACTAAATTATAATTTTTCATGTTCCTAAATCTGAAACTCTTGGATAAATAAGTTTAAGGTCATACAGCTCCAGATTTTATTCTCGTGTCTTGGAATGACGAACATAAACAGTCTTATTTTAACTCCTGGAAATGAATTTTCAATGGTGTCTAAGGAACTGATATAATTTCAAAAACATAAATAAATATCATGCTGACAAAAGCATTTTATTTCTGGCACAGTGGCTTCCAGAATCTTTCTCTAGTGAAACAGAAGAATTTTAAGGAAAAGTCGATAATGCCCTATAATAGTTATACTCTTGACTTTATCATAGAAAGGACAATGCTGCATCTTCTACACAAACCAATACTTCAGTTAAAATGAAAATAGGGGTTAACTTACATCTGGAAGCATTAAGTTCATCCATGCATCAGGAAGGCAATTTGTTCCAAGATCCAAATTAATCAAGTCAATAAAAATGTCAATAAATACTTTCTTTTGTATAAAACCTAATAAAAGAAAGTCAATATATAAAAAAATTATATTTACCATTCTAAAGAGAAATTTTTTTTAAAGGAAATCTATGTTTTTATTTTAATGGCCATATGGGAAAATTATTTATTTTGCTATTATGTACTATTGATAGTGGTAATATCTTTCAAGCTAAACATAAAATTTTCTCATTTAAAATGAATCATGTGTGGCCTGTCTAATAGTAAAATGTCAAATATTCCAACACACTGCAATTCTTTTGATACTTGTCCTGATCTGCATTGTGATCACTAACCCATCCTCACACAGTCTACACTGACAGTTAATGAGCAATTTACAAATACCAATCACACACATATTCTGTCTATTGAATACCTACCAACCTTTTCTTTCACTGTGCTCTATTGTAATCAATCATAAATCTGTACTCTTGAAAGCAAGCATGTGTTAGAGAATAGGATGGAAAACACAGACCATTATCTGTTAAACTTTGAAACAAAATTGAATTGCTTAAAAAGCTTCTCAGAATTGGCTTGTGGGCGTTATAAATAGCTCTGTCAATTTTATTTTAAAGAAATCATAAGATAAACATAAATAAATGCAACAAAACCTATTTGTTTGGCATGGATTTGCTTATAAGCAAATAGAAACTTCAAACTTAATGCACAGTATTAAAACACAAAATGATGTATACCAAAATTTAACAGACAGATATGAGTCTTTTCTTTCAGAAATGGACCTTGCTGGCTCAGTGAGGATTCACTGTGAAAATTCTGCAGTAATAACAAAAAATGTAAAATAAGCTTCAAATGATCTAAATTTTGAGAGGCAAAGCTGATTTGGTCAGATTATGAACACTTCTATAGCATCAAAACAGTAAATTTTCAGATTACCTTTAAAAGCAAACACAATCAGTGAAATACCGGAAGGCATGACTTAATTCTTTTCCTTCTTACAGCCAAACTTCTTGTCCTTTTGAAAAGGCATAGCTGTGCACATTCTATGGCTAACAAACTTTTTTCTTTGAAGTGGAACAGTGAAGTGAAATTTGTTAATTTTATGAAGAAATATTTAAGTGGTAAGAATACTAAGAATGTGTTTGAATATTAATTTCATAATGTCAGTATTCAAAATCAAGTTGCCAATTTGGCTTAATAGACTGCAACCTCTGTAGACCTGTTTCCATGCCTCCAATCAGGAAAGCCAGGAGTAATGCCCTCAGCATGTCTTAATACAGCAGAGAAATCCTATACATATATAAGCTTGGAATGAAGAGGAAAAAAATAGATTGGGGAAGATTAAAGTCTGTTGGGACAGGAAGAAGGAAGGGAGAAACGCCTGGACTTGAAGCCTTATGCCCTACCATAAATTTCAGCATGAAGGCAAAAGCTGGGGAAAAATACTGGCAGACTGATAACAGTGCTCTGATGTTACCTCTTGAAGGTTTTTGAGTATCTACTTTGAGAAAGAACATCTTCTAAAAATCATGTGTTAGGCTGTTTACTGAACAGCTGATTGGATGGCTGATTTAATAATTTTAAGGTAAACAGAAACTTGCATTTTGATAAGAACTTCAAGCCACAAGAATCAGATGATTTCCATACAGCACAATAAAGCCTACATCACAGAAGTATCATTACTGGAAAACTTCACAGAAGATTCAATAAACCAGGTAACTTTCTAGTGGTTCATGGGGAGAATAGGCTATGGTCCACTAAGAAGCCAGTGAAAACTTTATATTAAAATAACAGGAAAAATGTTTACATCTTATTTGCAGTCTCAGATTGTCTAGTGCTTTACCATGAAAAGCCCAGCTATCATAATTTTTATTTCATGTTTTACTGAACATTTCCCTTTCCACATCTGATCACTCTGGCAATCTAACTTCTTTCTCTCACATTGTCGTATGGTTTAAACTGTTAAATTCCTACTATGATTTCCCTATATGACAATAAAAAATGCTGTTCATGTATTTCCTATGAGTTTCTGGCTTCCTAGAACAAAACTGAATTTTGTTTTTCGGCACAAAATTCTAAAAGGATACTAATAGCCTCACGTCACTTTTTGTAAGGCTACCTGACTTCAGAAACATACCTAAAAAGTATTTGAGAGGCAAGGAAATTAAAGCACTTGAATCAAGAGATAATGTATGAAATGGGATTAAAGGATTGGAGTTTAAAACATTAATCACAATTTATAGAACTTTGATTGGATTGTAGAACATGCTAGAACATAAATTTCAGGTAAATTTGACATCAGCTGATGTAAGTCTATGGCAAACATAAATTATTGTGAGATATTTAAGCACTGTCAGGTCTGCAGTGTCTACCCATTTTTCTTCATCTGTGGTAAATATAAAGAAACAACCCTCTCTTTCATTCAGAGCTAAGCTACTTTCTATCTATTAATTATAGAATTGCTGATGTGCTGTAGGGTAATTTGTTTTACTTTACTATCTCCTCCTGAAACATCTGATGTGGGACAATTCCAAAGTGTCTTCAAAAAGTTATAATAGTTCAAAAACTTCAAATGGAATGTGACCTAATTCCTCCTCATGACATACCTAGGAGGAATGAGGAAGTCTCAGAGAGAGAGAGGAAATCCCTCATAAGCATATAAAAAAGCTATAAAATAACTTTCCTCAATGTATTTTTAAATATTTTGTCTATATTTAATGTATTTGTTTTTATATTACAGAGCATAGAAGTGGTTTTGAGTATCTGATTATATTACAAGACAGAAGGTGATTCATCAATTTAACTCAGGGGTTGCCAATGCCTTATAATCATGGAGAGATGCTATGAGTGGGCAGCTACACAGATGGTGCTGAGAAAAGAACACCGATGTCTGCAAATGGTACTCTGCAAGTGGTAAAAGGAAATAACGTCCTCTGGGAAAGAATGGGAAAACAATTCCCCGAATCGGCTTTGTCCACCTAACAAGACTGGTTTCAAAACAGGTATGCTCTTTACAAAATCTTTTTAAGTCCAAAAAAAAAAAAAGAAACCAAACTCAACAGTTTTTTGTTGAATGATATAGGAGATTGAATAGAAAATGAACTTATTAAATGTGTAGAAACACTTAATTAGAAGGGATAGCAAGTATTTTGGAAAAAGAATCAGAATTCAAAAAGGTTTTGAAAAACTGGTGAGATGGTCAAGACCAGTAAGTAAATTTCACTGGAAACAGATCAAAGTACTTTGAGGAAACAGACTGCACAAATTAATACACTACTACATTCCAGATAAAACCAATCAGGAAAGGATTTCAAGCGCATTGGAGAACAGGATTAGAATTCAAAGTGAACTTTACAAATTGGGTATATAATCTAGGATAAAAAGGACACTATCCAATAAGAATAAATGTCAAGTGCCACACTGGGTTGAAATAATGAACTGAATAGATGTCACAATGGGAATCTTACTGCCAAAGTAAAATTTCTGTAGAAAATGCTCTAGGGATTACGGCAGATTACAGTATTGCCAGAAAGTACATGGGAAGACACTGGAAATAACCCTTGTATTCTTTTCAGCTGTTAAGGCTTCTGCTGGCATACAATTTTGGAATTTGCAGATCTAGAAGGATGTATGGAAATGAAAGAGTGCCCAGAAGAAAGCAGCAAGAATCATCACAGGCTTAGAAAACATGTCCTGAGAGGCAAGGTTGAAGGAATTCTGCTAGTTTCATCTATGAAAGGAAGATTATGAGAAAACATAGTAGTAGTTTTCCAGTTAAAACCAAATGTTACAAAGAGGATAGGGATAACCCCCTCTCCATAGCTGCCATTAGGAAGAATGATAGGAAATAAAATTTATTTGCAGCAAAAATATTTCAGATAGTAGTACAAAACCATGTAATCAAACCATATAATCAGAAGGACACCAAAGCACTAAGGAAAACAAACCACGCATTCTACAATGGACTATTTTAAAAGTTTATCAAAAAAGAATGAGGGGCAAATACTGGACACAGATTGTCTGACTAAACTTGATCCCATTTTTAGACATGGATGGCTTCTTGATACCGCTTTCCAACTACTTGCTATGATACTAAGATTTCGCTAGTATTTTTCCAAGGACAATGTATCCATTGTCTTCAATCCAAATACTAAAAATGTGATGCTGCTCCCATGCATCATGGACATGACTTCAGTGTTATAGATTCTAAATATACTTTTGTTCGTTACTTTGGTTTTTGTCTTCTGCTGTTGGACATTCTGGGGACACATGTTCAAACTTTTTCTAATCTCATCATAGTTAAAATCTTCCCATTTGAAAACTTTGAGGGAAAAAACTTGGCATTATGTGACTTAAGAGAAAATCCTTAGAATTAGCAATGCCACATATCTAATAAGGTATTCTGTATAATATATATCCTGTTGCTTATTAGGTAAAGTATAACTAAACATTTTTGTTATCTGAGAAATCACAAATGAAGATATTTCAATGATCGATCTTTTATAATTAACCATATAATGCACAGTACTGATCTCTTTCTGATCCCTACAGATTAACTCTACTTGAGTGGACTAACATCCCTTAATGAGGCATGCATTCAAAACCTACTCTATTTCTGACATGCTATTTAAACCTAAAAGTAGCATGAATATATATGCAAGACACACAAATAAAGACTATATGTGTGTTGTGTGTGTGTATAGTCTACCTTCTGCAATTACTAGACATGTTTTATATTGAAAGTAGAGAGCTGATCTTGATTTAGAAAAGGGTTGATTTAAAGGTGAATGAACTCACAGCCATTTCTCCCAGATTATTTCTAGTTCATCTTCATCACTGTTAGAAGAACTAAGAAGGGTCATTAATGATGTCACTTTAGCTATCTTTTCATATAAATCATTGCTTTTTCCTTGATGGTAGAAATATATTCTGCTGGTGTGCTTTAACTTGATTGCAAATTATCAAATAGAAAGTTGCATTCAGAACATGTAGAATTATAAAATTATGAAATCAGATACTTCTCTGAGCAATTCTCATTCTCAGCTCCTAGAATAAAAATC